CACAGAAATGGAGCAGACATGTGTTAGAGGTGCTTGTATTTAACAATTAAACACATTTCATTATTTTACATCTTAACCAAGGAGAAAGTGTGCATTATTTATAGGAAATAAACAGAATGAAAACACAAGAAAAGAGAAGTCACTTTGACTTGGGTATTGGCAAATATCCAACTAGCAATAACTTGAAGATTTAATATTATTACATGCACAAAAAAATAAAGCCTAATGCTCATCCAAGCATATTTCAATCAAAGCTCTCTCTGGGAATCTTCCTACTGACAATACAATTTCGTGAAAAATAAACAATAAGATGCAGAAACTACAGTAAGCAGTTTAGGAAATTACATATCAAATATCTTCCTAAGAGCCTGCGGGTCTTATGAGCAGAAGTTTTGCCTAACAGGTCTCATTGCATATGCAGATTTAAATAATTCACTTGTTTAAGAAATCTCCTATTCTCTATTTACTCAAGCTCTTCAGCGGTGGGTTGTCGCCAACAGCCTTGCCAAGAGTCAAAGGAATAAAAGATTCTTTTTCTTGTTTTGAAGGAAGTGTTAGGAAAATAAGGAACAAGTCTGGGATTTTGCAGTGAAGTTAGGTAATAATAGTATACTCGGTTAAAACCTGCTCCCCAGAAGTGCGATTTCAGGAAAAAGGGCAGTTCATGTAGACGTGCAAACACAGATGCTGAATAGCTACATGGGCATGGCTACCTAGCCAACTGGTTATCCTATCTCTTAATGTACAGGTGGAGATCCTAGAGGGAGACACTGTCCAAGTATAAGCACTGGAATGAGAACACAGTCCTTCAAAATGTTATTTAATATTGTCCCTGCAAAAAGGTACATACATGTCATTATCTGTGTGTGTATATATAATTTATATATATACCTATATATAAATATATAAACTTAATGTATTTATATACTTTCAGATTTCTAAGCTATTTAATTTTTATTAATTTCAATAAATCCCCAGTTTCCTCAAGTACTCAGAATTTTGCTGATGATTTAGCCATTAATAGAACAGTAAAATAAAAAGACAACAACGATAAACTCATTAGATGTTCTCTAAAAGAAGAAATTAACAAAATCAATGTTGGTAACACAAGTTGTACTGAGGTATCTTATTTAATAATTTTCAGTTAGAAAGTCCAAATAAAAATGCTGATTATCCAAATTTTTACACTTTAAAAAGATGCATTTTTATTTCAGTTCCTTTTGTTAACAAAAGAATTATTGGATTAAACATGCATTGGAAGGCATATGAAAACACTTTTCTTAAATCACTTTTTTTTCAGACAGAGAGATCATAGTCTAAAGTGTTGTTAGTTATTAAAAAAAAAAAAAAGGGATGAATGCATGTTGTGGAACAGCAGGTTAGGCCTCTGTGGGGAGCAATCCGGACTGGACTAAGTTACTGAAATTAAGACTTATTCTATGCATCTGCTCTCCCACAATATGGCGCTGGGAGAGAAGTAAACAGCTTCCGCACAGCTGCCTCCAGTTCAGCTAATAAACTGTAGGACTTGCTCCTGATTGGAGAGCAGCGTACTCGGCGTGTGGGCAGCCGAGTTGGGATTGGCGGAGGAGGACTATAAAGGAGGAGAGAGACGGCATGCACCAGGAACATCTATGGGGAACATCTAAGGGAACCCGTGCAGCCCCCGAGAAAGCCGGCCGGCGGTGTGCCGCTCCCCTGCGGAAGTGGGGAATGCGGCCAGGGGGAACTGCCCTTCCACGGAGGTGGAAGGGATAGTAGCCAACCCGGGAAGAACCAGCAGCAAACCCGGGGAGGGCCGAGCAGACGAAAGAACAGCGCAGGGTTCAGTGTTGCTCCTCCACGAAGAGGGGGAGCGACATAATGGTGCCGTGACTCGGATATGAAGCCTAGGCAGGGTTCAGTGTTGCTCCTCCACGAAGAGGGGGAGCGACATAATGGTGCCGTGACTCGGATAGGAAACCTAGCTCGGATAGGAAACCTGACTCGGATAGGAAACTTAGGAGGGAAGAAACGGGAAGAACTAGGGAAAATACCGGAGAGAGAGACTAGCAAAGAGCCTAGGTGCCGGAAGAAGCTATTGAAAGCCTAGGCATAGACTCGGATATGGACTGTGGGAAAGAAGTTAGGATTGAAAGCGAAAGTGAAAGCTTTCATAGACTCGGATGCGGACTATAGCGGGGAAGCTAGGAGATTGAAAGCGAAAGTGAAACCTGGAGGAGGCTTGGACTCGGATACGGACTGTGGGGAGTAGCCAGGAGAAATGAGAGGAATATTGTTGGAAGAAAACTTAAGGAAACATACCGGGTAGAGAAAAATGTTAGGGAGGATGAAGCCGCGAGTGCAGGCCGAGGCGGAGATATAAGCCACCTTGGAATTCTTCAAGTCACCCCGGGGAGCAAGAGGCGAAGATCTGGAACCAGAGGCAGAGACGTGGGCCGCCAGGATTCGCCAGGTTAGTCCGGGGAACTTGGACTGAATGCCGGTGGTGGCGGAAACATTCGCGGAAGCCGCCGCGTGCAGAGAGAGCACGGGGCGTTGGCGCAAGGCCGTGGTGCGGGCGCGAAGTGCATGGAGACCGCGGAGCGTGCGCGCAGAGCCGGGAACCCGCCGGCGGGGCGCCGCCGGGAAACCGCGGGGATAAGAGAAGCCGCGGGAAGTTTAGAAGTAAAGTGAGAAAAATAGGAATGCTGGAAGATAGAAGTAAAATGGGAGAAATAGGAATGCCCGGAGATAGAGAAATAGAGAAATAAAAAGGCCTCCCTACAACACTGCAATGTGAGAGCTTGGATTCGGTCTGCCTAATCAAGTGAGGCGATGAGCACCTGCGGGCGGCTAGCAGCTTATGCGCCGCAGGTCACCGAAGACAGGCACGAATTAACATCAGTAAGACTTCCCCACAATACCGCAATTAGAAGGCTTGGATTCGGTCTGCCTGATTAAGGCGGTAAGCGCCAGCAAGCAGCTCGACCAGAGTATGAGCTGCAGGTCACCGAAGATAGGCACGAACCAACACTAATAAGTCTCCCCCACAATAAGGCAATGAGAAGGCTTGGATTCGGTTTGCCTGATAGGTCTTGTAAGTCCCCTGCAGGCAGAGCAGAGCATGCGCTGCAGGGCACCGAATACAGGCACGCATCAGCGCCTAAAAACCTCCTCACAACATGGCGAAGAGAGGACCCGGATTCGGTTTGCCTGATTGATAGGACTTGTAAGAGCCTGTGGCAACTCTAGCAAGTAGAGCAGAGTGTGTGCTGCGGGACACCGAAGACAGGCGCGTATCAACGCCAAAAATAAAAAGAAAGGGGGATCTGTGGGGAGCAATCCGGACTGGACTAAGTTACTGAAATTAAGACTTATTCTATGCATCTGCTCTCCCACAATATGGCGCTGGGAGAGAAGTAAACAGCTTCCGCACAGCTGCCTCCAGTTCAGCTAATAAACTGTAGGACTTGCTCCTGATTGGAGAGCAGCGTACTCGGCGTGTGGGCAGCCGAGTTGGGATTGGCGGAGGAGGACTATAAAGGAGGAGAGAGACGGCATGCACCAGGAACATCTATGGGGAACATCTAAGGGAACCCGTGCAGCCCCCGAGAAAGCCGGCCGGCGGTGTGCCGCTCCCCTGCGGAAGTGGGGAATGCGGCCAGGGGGAACTGCCCTTCCACGGAGGTGGAAGGGATAGTAGCCAACCCGGGAAGAACCAGCAGCAAACCCGGGGAGGGCCGAGCAGATGAAAGAACAGCGCAGGGTTCAGTGTTGCTCCTCCACGAAGAGGGGGAGCGACAGGCCTCCACTTGGGATGCCCACATCCTCCATCAAAATGCTTTGAATCAGATCTACCCTCTACTTTCATACCAACTTCCTTTTAATGTACAGGTCATAGCCCCAGTAGATTTCTGCCCACCAGGTAGCAAACCCTAAATGAGTTCTTGGATCCTGGCTTCAGCCTGGAACAGTCCCTGGGCAATAAAAAATGAAACAGCAAATAGAAGCTTTGTCCTCTCTATGTCTCTCCCTCTCTATCACTCTGCCACTCTGCCTTTCAAATAAATAAATAAACAGACACACAAATAATAAACACTTTCAAAAACTTATAATAGGTGTACACTAAGAATGATGTGTTCTTTATGGTTTCCAGACTATTTTACACTTTTAGTTTTTCTCCGTAAAAATCTATATGTATTCTAAGACATCAACTGTCTTAACCATTATCATCATCATCACTGTGGCTAGGAAAGTGAAAAATTCTAAGTAAAAGAAATCATGCTACTGTGGTGGAGTTCACACACTTGGTAGGGTAAGTTGGCCTTTTTAAATGGAAAGCTAATATACAATTTGAAGTCCCATCCTATTCACTCAAAGTGGAGCCAGCACTCATATGGGATGCCAGCATTGCAGGCTGGCCCCTACTGATATGAATTTTAGATGAAGTCCTTTAATGTTTATGAGACTAATATAGCAAAATAATCTCTGGTGAAATTATGGTCATAATGATCATAAAGTGGATAGGAAATTTGGTGACCATTTTCATAGAAAATTGCAAATAATTTGATGTCCAGTTCAATTCCTATATTAAGTTTCTCTGCTCTATGGTAATTTATCTCAATGTGTTTCTCTATTATTTGAGAATTTATATAATTAGGCACTTAATTTATGATTTTATCAAGTGTCTTAGATTTGACACCATCTACCCTCACCACTAAATATGCATTCTTTGAGAAAAGAACTGATATCATGAATTGACTTATTTGGATAATAAAGGGACCATATTCAGAAGCTGAGTAAAAACTCATTAAATAATTTTGGGATGGTTAAATTGTTAGTTCATTGATGTCCTAATTATGAAAATGGAACTTTGTGCTTTGTACAGGAACAAATAGTATCACTAAAGTGAATTTTATTATTTATTTAATTTATTTTCAACAAACCCTTAAGTAGCCAAATCATTTCTAAATAAAAAGAAATCTTCCATCTCTCTGTTCTTTTCCTTTCTTTGACAGTAAATGGCATCTCTGTCCTTCCATGATGATGAGACAAAAATAATAACCCTGTTCAATTAAGCGTGGACTTCCAAGTCTGTCACAGTTGTATCAACTCGATTTGCAACATACTGAAAAGCAAATCTGCTTCTGTTCTATCAGGATTGGGGCATTTGAAAAACAATTTCAAGTTAAGTATATGTGCTATTGGCTTTGGGATAAAAATACTAAAAATTGGGATGAATTATGACTTAATTTGAATATTGTACTGATTAGCTTGTGTTTGGTAATTCTTGATAAGGCTTGTCCCCATTCCCCTGGTAATTGAACACTGACTGCAGTAATCAAGGTAGTCCAATGTTCATCCAACATCAGGCCAGGAAGGAATGAAGTGCTTGGCAATAATGATGTATCTTAGAAAGCACATGCCTTGCATTGTGGGGGATAGGCTTGCTTCCTGGGATTAGTAGTCCATGGTGATTTTTATTATGTGGTTTTTGTTGACTGTGAGCTTTAAGACTGCTCAGCTGAGCTGCTTCAATGTTCTCATCTCCCGATCCCTCATTACTTTGAGCCAAAGATTTATTGTTCTCTACTTTGGAGGGTGTTGCTTGTATGCAATTATGTTGGCTTAATTGTAGTTCATTCTTCCTCATATATTGTTGTGTGACCTCTTGCTCACTTTATTGTGGGCTGTCGCTGTCAGGCCTAATCCCTGGGAAGATGTAAGTACATTAGAATTCATTACAAAAAGAAAGAGAAATACAAATTGGGGTGGAAGAAAGCTCACAAATGGGGAGGCAGCTTAACCTACTGCTACTGCCTATAGAGACAGAAAAACAAAACCTCTGGATAAAATGGTTGCCAGTGCAGCCCTGATCCAAGTTGCAACCCCATTGTCACCAATATAAAGTTCTATCATGGAAAACACTGAAGTTAAGCTGGGATAATCTTAGCAAATGTTAATGTGTTTGTCTCTTGCTTCTGCCTTCCCAGGGACATTTGCAAGGAAGGTGATTGAAAATGAAGTAACTAGGACTTGAACCAGCACTCTGCTATGGGATACTGGCATGGTAAGTGATGGTTTAACCTGCTGTGCCACAACATTGGCTTTAGACCCTTTCAGGAGCTGATTTTAGGAAAACATCAGAAACTCATTAACTCACACTGAGATAATTACTATATCCACCACATAGGTTATACCCTCATCAGACAGGTCAAGGTTTCTTAAGATTGAGCATGAATTAGAATCACTTGGATAGCTCATAAAACAGAGGGCCCCAACCACAGTATCTCCTCTGCAGCTGTTGTGAGGAAGGGGCTGAGAATTGCATTTGTACCAAGTTCTGAAGCAATGCTGATGTCACCTATGTAGCGATCAGACGTTGAGAACCAGTTAGCACATGAATTGCCTTCTTTCTTCCAATATTAGCAGTAGGAGCAAGCCAGCCTCCCAGCAGAACCTCATCCAGACCTGTCCTTGCCTGGCTCTGTCCCTCTCTCTAAGACTCACTCTTTGGGTGGAAAGTTCTCTGGTAGCCTATATACAACCTTGGACTGCCTTCCATCAGCTTTGTGTTCCTCCTGGAAATATCTCTGTTTCTAAGATAACAGTAAGTACTGTTGTGGGAAAGAATGGATGTCTTGGATACAATTCAGTGATGTAAGCAGATATTTCTGCAACAAAACATAACTGCCCAGTGGCCTTTCCAAGCTGAGCCTGACCTCTCATGTGGTATGCCCTGGACTTCTGGGCATTTCCATTCCCCCACCTCTATTATAGGGGAGCACAGGCACATTACTGAGGACCCTTGAGATACAACTTTGCCTAAAATTGCATATGATACTATAATTTTTTCAATATAAGGTATTCTGAATTTTCCACCATTGAATAAACCACATTTCATGAACGTGATTGTCTCTTCTGGGATAATCTCTTAGATCATCAGGGGCTTTTCCAATTTTAAAGCTTAGATTTACTCAGTCTAAAAAATGTGGGCATGTTCTTTCTGCTTTGGCATGAGCCTGTTGCTATATTCACTCCTTAAATCATTTTTGAGTCTTGCTGTAACTTTTCCCCTTCACAGTTTTTGCATGTCCTGTACCTCAGTTTGGGCCAGGTATTGTCAATCTATTTTGGGACATTCGACCTATTGCTATTGCTATTAAATTCTCAGTGCTTCCAGACATATAGCCAATGTGGAAGATGTAGAAGAAGTAAGGCATTGTGATGAAATTTTAGAGCAGACATATGCCTTGATAATTCCATCTTCCAAATTGATGCTTCCTTACTATCTTTAAAATCCCAGTATTCCACATGTTGCTCTCATTGACCTAGGCAAGTGGTTGGCATATAGAAGATATTCAATCAATGGTTGTATGTTATAAAAATGATTAGATTTATTTACCCCAAGGGTTTGCTTCAAATAGGTTGCTGGGTGTTCTTAGACTGACTGCTGGCATCTGAAGCTGACTTCACATAACATGTCATTGTGATGAAGGCTTTAGGAGTAAGTTTCCAAGTATTCCTTCAGGGGTATTCAAGGTGGAGCTGTGGAAAAACACAGACATACAAAGGACACATTTTCAGATCCTAGAGTTTGCCTAAGGCTTATCCCCCAGTGGTCTCCACTTGTTATCACCCTGCTTTGGCTTCTGTCTTTTTTGACTTGAATTTGAGCCTGTTTCAGTTATCTCTCTCCCTCCTGTCTACAGTTACCCATTCTGAGTACCTGGTCCAAGTCCTACCTACCCTGCTTCTAATCCAGCTTCCTGTTGATGCGCCTGGAAGGCAGTAGTTAATGACCCAAGTACTGAATTCTTGCCACTCACATGAGAAACCAAAATGGAGTTTTCTGACTCTTGGCTTCATCCTGGCCCAGCCAAGCCTATGCAGGCATTTGGAGAATAAACCAACAGATGTAATGTCTCTTGATTTTTCTCTGTCTCTGCCTCTTCTGTCACTCTGCCTTGAAAATAAATAAATACATCTTTAAAAAAAATCTTTTCTAGTTAGCAAAGTGCATTTTTCTCTTTTTTATTATACAATAACTTTTATTCTCATTTTCACTACTGCAATAATGATTCCAACAATAACTAATCATAGCTTGAAACTTTAATGTATTGTTAGTTATATACCTGAATTAAGAAAAGAACATTATGCAATTTGAAGTGACTATTAGGAATAATTAAGTTCCACTTCCAATAACATATAACCCTTGAAAATACTCACAAGTTCCTGTCAAAATATCTGGAAGTCTTTACCTACCTCTTCATTTGCTTTTAATTAAAAAGGCTAGAACCAACATTGCCATAAAATATATACATATATTTTTTAATTTCATCATTCATCATTCCATTGAATATTAGCATCTAAAAATGTAATATTTTATTTTACATTTATTTATTTCACATTGTTTTGAAAATACAGACTAATGAGTTAATTATGCATTAGAGTACTCTCAGAAATTTTGGTAATTATAAATAATATTGTTTCACTGAAAAATATGCAAGATGTTTTTTCAAATAACAGATTTATAGACACATTGTCAGAAAAGTCTATTGGTGGTTTTACATAAAACTTCACTTTCTTGATTTTCTTTTTGCCATGATCTGATTGTTGAACAATTTTTCCTTGCATTGTAGTCACAATAAATAATAATTACAATAAATGATTTTTGAACAAATTGAGTATAATTTGAAATGACTCAGTCATTCCACTGTGGATATTTTCCAAAGGAAATTAAATCAGTATTTGAAAGAGTTTTCTGTACCTCCATGTTTATAAAAATTAATTCACAATAGCTAAAACACGGAATCAACTCAAATGTCCATCATTAGATGACTGGGTAAAGAAATTGTGGGATATATATATATATATATATATATATAATGGAATACTATTCAGGCATGAAGTGAATGAAATCTTATCTTTTGCAACAAAACAAATGCAACTGGAGATAATTATGTTTAGTAAAATAAACCACATATTTGGGGCTCCTTGATTCTCTAGTCATGGACAAATATTGGACCCACTGGGGCTAGCACCCAGGCACTGGTCTCCTTTGAAGAGAGGGGGTACAAAAGAAACTATGTCAACAGAGCAGAACAAACCTCTCTTCTTGTAAAAACAAAATAAAGAGGAGGTTTACCATGCCCAACATGGGAGTCACCTTTCACACTCCCTTCATCCTGGAGCATTGAACAGAGCTCTCTGGCCATACCCACCACATGCCCCTGGGTAGTCACTGAAAAAGCAGACACTTCACTAAGCCACAGAGGAGGAGTTCAATGATATAAGCCATCACAGAGAAAAAAAACAAAACAAAACAAAGAAAAAAGAAACCAACAAGTGTCTCTACAAAGGCCAAGTAATAAATACAGCAATTCAAGAAACAAGAATAAGGAAGATGACATGATGTCCCCAAAAGAGTATAACACTTTAATACTAGAATGTAAAGATGAAGATATTAAATAAATGCCAGAAATAGAATTCAAAAAATTGACCAGAGGATTACTTAGAAGTAATCAGAGTCAAAATCATGAACTAATGAAATCCATACATGACATGAAAGAAAATTTCTCCCATTAAACTGCTAAAGAGAAATCAAAATGAAATTTTGGAAATTAAGAATTCAATAGAACAAAGAATTTGGTAGGAAGCTTTAACAACAGATTGTCAAGCAGAAGAGAAAGAATATTCAAGTTAGAAGACAAACCTCTGGAAATTTTAGTCATACCAAAAATAAGAATAAATTATAAAACTAAAAAACACTGTTGGGAATCTACAGGATACTATCAAATGATCAAACATACAAGTCTTAGGAGATCATGAAGGTGTGGAAAGAGAGAATGGATTAGAAGGCATCTTGTACAGAAAACTTCCCTAATTTGGAAAAAGAAAGGGTCATTGAAGTACAGGAAGCACATAGAACTCCTAATAGACATGACCAGAAAAGAAAACACATTGTAGTCAAACTCTCCACAGTAAAACATAAAGATTCTAAAATGTTCATGAGCGAAATGCCAGATTACTTTCAGAGTATCTCCAATTAGAATCACTGCTGATTTCTCATCAGAAATCCTACAAGCAAGGAGAGAATTGCAAAATATAGTCCAAGTCTTAAGAAAAAAAACCTGTCAACTTAGAACACTGTACCCTGCAAAGCTCTCCTTTACAAATGAAGGTGAAATAAAAACCTTCTGTAACAAACAGATATTGAAAGAATTGGTCACCACTCAGCCAGCCTTACAAAAGATGCTTAAGGATGTGCTACACACAGAAATACAGAAATGTGGTCACCACTACAAAAGAAAGTGAACATAGAAAATTCCCCACTAAAAATACAAAGAAAATTCAAAGTAAACAATAGGGATATTTATGGAAAAATGGCAGGGCAAAGTCATTACTTATCAATAGGCAGGTTGAATGTAAATGGCCTTAACTCTCCAGTTAAAAGACACAGATTGGCAGAATGGATTAAAAAATAAAACCCATCTATTGCTGCCTACACAGATACACATTGCACCAACAAAGATCCTTGCAGACTGAAAATGAAAGCATGCAAAAAGACATTCCATGATAGCAGAAACCAAAAAGAGAGCTGGTTTACTCATCCTAATATCAGACAAAATAGACTTTAATACAAAAACTGTTCAAAGAGGTGAATATCTTGTTGATCAATTCAATAGGAAGTTTGACTATTATAAATGTATATGCACCTAATTACAGGACACCTGGATATTTAAAAGAAATGGTAAACACTTTCAGGGAGACATAGAGTCCAATAAAATAGTAATAGGAGACTTCAATACCCCACCTTCAACAATGGACTGATCAAGCAGACAGAAAATCACCACCGAAATAACAGAGTTAACTGATAGTATAGACCAAAGGAACCTAATGGATATCTATAGAACTTTTCATCCTACAGATGGAGAATACACATTCTACTCACCAGTATATGAACTTTCCTCAGGACTGACCACATGCTAGGTCATAAAGCAAGTCTCAGCAAATTCAAAAGTTAGAAAATCATACCATGCATCCTCTCTGACCACATGGAATGAAGTTAGAAATAAACAACTCAGGAATCTATAGAACGTATGCAAACACATGAAGACTGAACAACATGCTCCTGAATGAACACTGGGTGATTGAAGAAATCAAAAGAGAATTAAAAAAAAATTCTAGTAACAAATGAAGGCAACAATACATCAGAACTTTTGGGATTTAGCAAACACATGTGTGAAGAGGGAACTTTATAGAAACTGGTGCCTACTTGGAAGGTACCAAAGATATAAACTATTAATGTACCTCAAGGACCTAGAAAAACAACAGCAAAACAAACCAAAACTAGGAGAAAGAAATAATTAAATTAAAAAAAATCAACAGCCTTTGTAAGCACAGACAATGCTATGGCTGAGAAGGAACTTCTAAGTTCAATCACATTCACTATAGCTACAAAAAAAAATCAAGTACCTTGGAATAAACTTAGAAATAATTAAATTAAATTAGAAAAAAAACAGCAAAACAAACCAAAACTAGGAGAAAGAAATAATTAAATTAATAATTAAATAATAATTAAATTTGAAACTGAACAAACTGTATTAAAGATCTGCAGAATGCAGAGGTTTTTTTTTTCAAAAAATTAACAAAATTGACACACCATTGGCCCAACTAATTAAAAAAAGAAGAGCAAAGACCCAAATCTATACAATTAGAGAGAAAAAAAGAATGTAACAACAGACACCACAAAAATAAGAATCATCATCAGAAATTACAATAAAGAGCTAAATACCAGCAAACCAGGGAACCTAGAAAAAATGGACTGATTCCTGGACACATACAACCTGCCTAAATTGAACCAAGAAACCATAAAAAAACTTAAACAGACCAATAAACAAGAAAGAAATTGAATCAGCAACAAAGACATTCCCTAGAAAGAAAAGCCCAGGACTGAATGGCTTCACTGCTGAATTTTAATCAAAAATTTAAGAAGAACTAACACCAATTCTTCTCAAACTCTTCAAAACAATTGAAAGGGAGAGAACCCTTCCAAATTCCTTCTATGAATCCAGCATCACCTTAATTCCTAAACCTGAAAATAATACAACAGAGAAAGAGAACTTTAGACCAATATCCCTATTGAACATTTATGCAAAAATCCTCAACAAAATACTAGCCAATCATATCAGAAAGATTCTCAGAAAGATCACTCACCCAGATTAAGTGGGATTTATCCCTGGTATGCAGGGATGGTACAACATTCACAAATGTATTAGTGTGAGACTTCACATTAACAAATTGAAGAAGAAAAAACATGATTATCTCAGTAAATGCAGAAAAAGCGTTTGATAAAAACACCCTTTCATGATGAAAATTCTAAGCAAATTGGGTTAGAAGGAACATTTCTCAACACAATCAATGCAATTTATGACAAACCCTTAGCCAGCATCCAATTGAGTGGGGAAAAGCTGGAACCATTCACACTGAGTTTCAGAACCAGATAAGGATGCCCACTCTCACAACCCGTATTTAATATAGAACTGGAATTTGTAACCAGAGTCATTAAGCAAGAAAAAGAAATCAAAGGGATACCAATTGGGAAGAAGGAAGTCAAACAATACCTATTTGCAGATGACGTGATTCTATATAGGGGATCCAAAAGTCTCCACTAAGAGACTTGGAATTCATAGAATAGGTTGGTAAAGTGGCAGGATATAAAATCAACACAAAAAATCAATAGCCTTTGTAAGCACAGACAATGCCATGGCTGAGAAAGAACTTCTAAGTTCACTCACATTCACTATAGCTACAAAAAAAAAAAAAATCAAATACCTTGGAATAAACTTAAGCAAGGATGCCAAAGATCTATATGATAATTATAAAACATTTTTAAAAAGTAATAGAATAAGATACAAAACAACATAAAAATCTTCCATGTTCATGTTCATGTATTAGAATAATTAATATCCTCAAAATGTCCATACTATCAAAATAATTTTCAAATTCCATGAAATACCAATCAAAATACCAAGGGCATTCATCTCAGATATAGAAAACACAATGCTGAAATTCATATGGTAACACAGGGTACCCCAAGTAGCTTAAGCAATCTTATACATCAAAAACAAAGCTGGGGGCATCACATTGCCAGATTTCAAGACATACTACTGCTGGTGCCGTAGCTCACTAGGCTAGTCCTCTGCCTGTAGCACCAGCACCCAAGGTTCTAGTCCTTGTTGGGGTGCTGGGTTCTGTCCTGGTTGTTCCTCTTCCAGTCCAGCTCTCTGCTGTCACCC